TCCGGCCGGCCGTCGTGGGCCGCTCCCGGCCTGGGCCGGGCGAGCTTCTGGGCTTGGAAGGCTGGCGTTTTGGGAAAAGTGGGCACCGTGCCAGCCTGCCCCGATGCTTTGCAATCCTCGACGCCCGGTAGCTGGGCAGTACCTGCACTAGGCAATGGACCCCCGGAGGCGCCCTCTCCCAGGCCGGGTTCCCCTTGTCGACTTGACGGGAGGGGGGTGTGAGGCGAGGCCTTGAGACTATGGGAGCGGGAGAGCAGGGAGGGTAGAGGCGCACCACTGACCTCCCAAGCGCGGTCTTGGCGTCTCCCCTCTTCCTGCTAGAAGCCCCTCACCCCGGATCTAAGACTCTCCTTCTCTTCCTCCACCTCCCCTCAGTCTCCTTCAAACCCTCACTTGGTCTTGGTCTCTCTCCCCTCGAAATCTGTTTCTGCCAGTCAGTCTTTGCAAAATCCTGTTTCTCTTTTTGTCTCTGTCTTTAGTCTCTGTCCCTCTACCTCTGCCAGCCTCTTCCTCTCGGTCTCTCTCCGTAGGTCTCTTTCTCATTTCAGTCTCTCTGTTTTCCACCTCTCCCTCTCTCTGTCTCTCTCACACCTTCTCATTTTCTGTTTTTCCTTCCTGCCTTTTGCTGTCTTAGTGTCTCTGTCTCTTTCTCTCTATTCATTTATCTCATCCTGCAGTTTCTGTCTCCTGGCTATTTTCACCTTTCCTCTGCCTCTTAGTTTCTGTGCCTTTTTTTTGTTTCTGTCTGTTTCTACCTCATTTTCCATGTCTCTGTCTTACATGTGGTCTTTTTCAGTTTCCCCAAAGTCAAGTTTTTCTACCCCTGGTCTGGGTGACACTTTCTTCCAGTTCCCATCTCCCTTCCCTCTGAGCTTATAGCCCCTCTGTGACCTGCTACCTCCTTCCATACCACCCCCTCCCTCTTCCCACCCACTCCAGGTCGGGCATGTGGGAATGAGGCTGGAGGGCTCTCCGGGGCTTAGAGGAGGGGGAAGACCCCTAGGATCCCGGGAGAGGAGCTGCATTAAAGACCTCCATCCCCATGTGTGTTAGAGAAGCCCTTAGCACAGTGCTTGGCACAGAATAAGGCTTAGTAAAGTCTCCTTACATTGTGACTGTTAATTTTAAAAGCCCCTTGAGGGTTTAGTGTGGTGCTAAGCTTGGGGGAAGAGTCCAGTGGGAGGGTACAGAGGGAGTAGAGAACAGGTGCCTCCCCTGTCAGTCAGGCAGGGCTGAGGGGAGGAGCCTGCAGGAATGCTAAGGACTTGGAAGAGTGGGCTCTGGGCTCCGTGGCAGCTAAGATGCCAAAGAAAACAAGGGCCAAAGAAACCCCGCTATTGTTCCTGCCCAGTTCTGGCATTTCCTGCTGGAGCAGCTCCTCCCCCAAGTCTCTCCTCTTAAGGCCAGAGGTCCGTTTGTCCTTTCTTCCATGAGTCCCAGCGCTCTGTCCCCAGCCAATCATGCCAGTTGTATGCAGGATTTTCTTCTGGGTCTGGGGGTTGGGCTGGACAATGACCCTGATGACCCTAGAGATCATTGGGGGCCAGGCTCCTTCGCTGCTGAACTTGCCTCCAGTTTGCACCCTTCCACTTGCTTTCTCATCATCTCTCAAGTGCTCACAAGTGCTCACAAGAGGCTAGGTTACCAGGGAAAGCTCCAACCTGAAGATTTGAGCTAATGAGGGACTGTAAAGGCCAAGACCTTGTTCTTGCCATTTTAGAGATTCAGAATATGATCTACAAAGTTAGAGATTATAATTGGCCTCCACTGTGTGATTTCATTCCAAGCTACCCACGAAGAAACCCAGACTCAGAGGTCACTTGCCTAGGGTCACACAGTGACCTGAGATAGGAACTACAGGTCGCCACGCAGACTTGGTCACCAGAAGTGGGCCTGGTGAGGCCAAAGAAGGAGACTTCATCTGTCAAGGTTACTCACATTGGGCAGCTGATTCTGTTTCCCAGGCCTGCGTCTGAGGCCCCTCCATCTCTCTAACCACTAGAGTCCCTCTGTCCCCAAGTCATCACAATAAACTCCTATTATGGCTTGGAATTATGTTTGCTCAAGCACTCAGGCCCTGCCCTGCCACCTCCAGAGGAATGCCCGGGACCTTTCTTAGTTGAGAGATGGGTCTCCCCATTGGTGGCAGGGGGAATTTGAATGTCTCAGGGAGAGCCCTTCCCCTCCTCTCCTGATATGGGGACCTCTGAGTTCCCTGGGAGAACTTGAGGGCTGGGGTAGAAATGGTAGGGAGTTCTGCCTGTCTTCTGGTACCTTGGACTGTGTTTGTATTGACCACTGCCACGTTGTGGAAGAACACTACTTATTGGCAAATGAGCATTTATTGAGTGCTTATTATATGCAGAGCAGTTGAAGGAAGGTAGATAGGAGAATGCCATCTAAGAACTGAAAGCAGCCCTGTCCCCAAAGGGCTTACAGTCTAGCTAGGAGGCATCGTATATATACAACATCACAGCTTAAAGATACAAAACAACATTGAAGCACCATTTGCAGGTGCAACGTCATTTGGCACAAAGTGGGAGTATGGGACAGCTCACAACCTTCTCTGTGCCCAGCTTGGGGACCTGGAGGTCTGTCCACCTGTCTCCACGCTGCCCTGCCTGTATGGTTTGGTGTGAGTGATCTCTGTTCTCTGACTAACCAGGTGCTCTTCAAGGGCAGAAACCAGCCCCACGTTCTTTGTCCTGTCTACCTTGCTGCCCTCGCCAAGGTTCTCTGTCCGCTGCAAGACAGTGGGTTGGGCTGGAAAGGTCCAGCCATGTGTTCTGGCTTCTGCAAGGGCCTCCCAGGAGGAGCCTAGGATTTGCCTCAGTGGAAAAATCATGGGATTTTGCATAAAAAGCTCTGAGTTCAAGTCTTGGCTCCACTATACACTACCTGTGAGACTTTAGACCAGTCTCTTAGCCTTGGTTTCTGAACCTGTAAAATGGGAAGAACAATATTTGCTCTACCTTTGTCACAGGGTTGGGAGATAATCACAGGGGACGATAAGGGGAAGCTTTGGAAATAGCAAAACCCTTTATGGCTGGGGGCCTTTGTCCTTCCCTAACCTATCAGAAGTTTGAGGAAGATTAGATGAACCCTTGCATGCAAGGCACCCAGCACAGCAGCTGGTACACAAGAGATGCCAGGAACTGCCAATTTCCCTTCACCCCTGGAGTTCCATCACTTGGAATCCTTTTTTGACCTCTGACCCCAATGGGCAATAGAAGCTGGAAGTGGTAGGGATTTCATATTTAGTTTTGGGGGAGATGCAATCCAAGAAGTGAAACAGACATAGAGATAAATTCTTGGCTTCTTCTAGAGGAGTTTGTTGGGGTAGGTGGGGTGGGGACAAGGTGCCTGAGACACATCCATGATGGGCTCATAGCTCACTGCCTTGCTGCCTTTGAACCTCTAGAGCAAGGACACTCAGGTGCCAGGAGGACAGCTGTGGAGGTCACTTCGGTTTCTGACTCCCCCACTCTTCTGGTAGTGAGGCCAAGTGGCTGTCACTAGCTAATGGGGGTTTGGGAGAGTCCTCTCCATAGCACCTATGGCCTGGGGCAGCCTTTTTTGGACCTCAAAGAGAACTTTGGTCAAGGAAGACAGTAAAGAGCATAGATCAGAGGGGACACAATTACAGAGATGTTCCTTATACACTGTCTTTCTTGGATGGAAGCAGAAGGGAGAAAGAGGCTAGAGACTTAGTGCCTGGTGCACAGTGGGTGCTTGGTGCAGTGTGAGCTAGATATAGACAGAAGTCTTGAAGGCATGGAGGCCACAGAGAGCATGAGGATGGGGGGTTCAAGGTATGACCCACATATTACTTATACAGCAGGCTGGAGAGGGAAGGAGAGAATGGATGGGGCTGGGTGGTGGGAGGAAGGAGGTGGGAGAAAAGATAGGGCACACATGCAGGGTAAGGAGAGGTTAAGAGGCTGGACCAGGATGGGGCCAGCCCCAAACCCATCTCCTTCTGCCTGGATCTTGCAGGCTCCCAGGACTTTCCTTTGCTTTGGCCATCAGTGAAAGGAGGTAAGGGATGTTGAGCATCAAACTCCTTCTGCATCCTTCCCCCAGGAAGCAGAAATAATGAAAATGATTCTAGTAATGCGTGTTAATGGTATTAAGAATTACAGTTTACACAGCATCTTTACATGCGTCATCTCACTTAATCCCGGTTAATCTCATTTGAGAACAGTCATACTGGCCTAGAAATTTAGAAGCCTGGGTTCTAGACTCAGATCTGCCTCTGCCTGGAGAAGTCATTTCCCTTCCCTGGTCCTGAGCGCAACAGGCTGCTCTATCCACAATGACTGTTCAGTGGTAGGAGCCAGAAGCAGGGAATCACAGGCTGTGGAGAGGCAGAGAGAGAAGGAACAGAGGTTCCTGGGGCGGAGGAGCTGCTGCCCGAGGACTGGGGAGAATGAGATGGGTGATGAAGGGGTGTTGCCTGGTGCCCATGGTTGCATGCCTGAGTGCCTTGCCCAGCCAGCCATAGGTGTGTGCTGGGCAAGAGGGCTGACTTGGGAAACTGAGTGTCTCCTTTCAAGAAGTATCTAGTTGCAAATCTCCCCCTCTCCCAAGACAAAGGCCCCCGGGCCCCACAAAGGGCTTTTGTTTTCTCTGCCGAAGTGGGAGGCTAATCTCTGGATCTGGGGCACCCCTGGAGACGGGGGTCCTGGCACACACAGCATACACACACGTGAAGGTGTGCACACTCATATGCCTGCTTCCTCTTTGGAGAGGTTCTCCCTCACCACAGAAAGGGAATCTTTGGTCACCAAAGCGCTGGGGCCCAGCGCTGCAGGTAGGGGACATTTTCCAGGAGAAGCCAGATTGCAGCTGGAAATCAAGGCCCTCCCTTCAGCCCTCTCAAAGTGGCCTCCTTCCCTTCCCCTGAGGATGACTGGCACCCACACTTATCCACTGCAGAAGTGGATTTATTGCAGGTTGGGGAGGAAGGGGTGCAAGGGGAAGTGAGAATTCCCCAGCCGTGCACACTTGCACCAACGTAGGCAAACCTGGTCACACTCAGGGGCATGCACAACCCTGCATGTGAGGACAAAGGAGAACTCGGGGATGAACACACTTGCACACTAATAAAACCAGTTGCACTCTTTCCAGAACCCCCAAGGCAGGGGTCTGTACACTCCCCACCCGGTACCTGGGTGCAGGCTCTCAAGAGTTTCGCTCTTACCACCCACCTGCCTCCCTCCGCAGCTCAGTCCCCCAAGTTCCCAGTTCCCTGCAAAAGGCTGGAGGATCCACTACTGGCTGCTCACAGCCTCGGGGCAGGGGGCCTGCCAGGCTCAGGGCTCCCTCCGGCAGCCTCCTCTACGCTTGCTCACAGCACTGGCCTCGGCGCGCACGTGCGCACGTACAGGAAGCAGCTACTCTGCGCTGGGGGGCCAACTTCAGACCTGGGGGAGAGGAGGGACGGGGTGGGCCCTTCTGCTTCGGGCCTCACACGCGTCCATCGGGGCCGTAGAGGCCGCTGACGGCCCTCAGGCCTTGGTGCCCCGTGGGAGGCTCTGCGGCGAGTGCAGCTCCACCGACTGCCGCCGCCGCACCTCGCGCTCCTCCCAGTCGGTGTCCGGCTCCAGGCCCTTCAGCACTGCCAGGCGCTCCGACAGGCTCTTGGCTGGCGGGAACAGCACGTAGTTGTAGAGGAGGGAGCCCAGGATGGCGCCCACCAGGGGTCCGATCCAGAAGACCTGGGGGCGAGCGGAGAGAGTGGCTTGGCACCCGAGCCTACACCGGCACGCGGAGCCCGCAGGCCCCGGTGGCACACTCTGCGGCCGCACCCCTCCTCCCCGCCATTAATCTAGTGAAATGCTTATTTATGTAATTAGCAACGACAACGCCAGCTGCTGGGGAAGCCTTATCAGTGCGAGGTTAAGGGTGCGAATTTTGAAGCCACTGCCTGTGTGTGAATCCTGATTCCACCACTTAGATGCTGTGTGCACTTCAACAAGTTACTTACCATATCTCTGTGCCTTTCACTATAAGAATGCCTATCTCCTAGGGTGGTTGTGAAAATTGAATGAGTTAATGTTTGCAAGGCACTCAGAACAAGGCTCACCACATTCTAAGCACTAGATAAGTGCCAAATACTACCACTTGTAGAGTTCTAAGTGCCAGACACTACATTATCTGGGTTACACCGGTAGCCTCACTTACTGTTCCCAAGAAGCCAGTGAGGTAAGCTGTTGTCATCCTCATTCACAGTTGTGGAAACTGAGTCTTTGGCATCAGATCTGAGGGGTGGAACCCAAGGCTCCCCAGGACCAGGAGGAGTGTGGAGGGTTTGAGGTACCGCTGCTGAGCCCCAATCCCATGCTATTCCAGCTCTTGTTCTCCCTCTAAAATGGGTTTTTAGGGAAGGGGAGGGCAGTGGGTTTCAGCCATTACCCAGTGGTCATCAAATTTGCCAGTGACGACAGCTGGAGCCAGGGAGCGGGCGGGATTCATAGAGCAGCCGGTGTAGTGGATCTGCAGTGGGAGGAGGGTATCACAGAGAGAAGGCAGGTGAGGACAGGGCAGAAAGTCCTTGTCCCGCACTGCAGTGCTTGACCTCAGCCTAAAGGGAACCCATGTGATGGACAATTAACTTCACGTTTTATTTAAAGAGCTCTGTATTCTTTGGGGGCTGGAGTGATATCTGTCCCTCTGGGGTATCTGGGAGTCAAACCTCTGGGGTGTCTGTTCCTCTTGAGAGTTCTGTGTATGTGTCCCTCTTGGGGTCTCTGTGTCTGTCTCTGGAGTGGTCTGTGTGTCTGTTCCTCCAGGGAGGCTGGAACCTATGGCCATGACCTACCCCCAGGAGGTGGCCCAGGGCCACGGAGAAGCCTATGGAGAGAGCAGGGGTGCCCGGGTTCTCTCCACGGCGCTCATCGGTGGAGGCAAAGATGCAGAGCACCAGCTGCAGCGTCAGGAAGAGCTCCACAGTCACCGCCTGGCCAGCTGTCGTGCTGTTGCTGAGCTGGGGACAAACAGGCAGGTAGGGGAACACTGAGCACACTCTCCTCTCTGGCTCCATCTTCCTGTCCACCTGCAGTCAAGGCACCAGGGGGGCCTCTGGGCTGGGAACCAGAACACCTGGGCTTGCCAGATACCTTAGCTGGAACAACTGATCCCTTCTTCTTGGGCCCTGGCCCAAAGGCAGCCCATGATCCCCCAGGATGCCCGTGGTTTCCCTGCCAGAGGTAGGAAAACTGACTCTGTAGCCCATTAGATTGGGGGGTGAGGTTGGGATCCTTCAGTGTGAGAGAAAAAGGATGCTGAGATCCAGAATTTCTGTTTCCTGAAGAACAAGAACGGAAGAGGTTTCAACGGCCTCAGGAAGCTTTGGACTGGTTAGCAGGAAGACCTTCCCCTCTCTCTAGACCATCAGACCCTGGTGCAGTGAGAGGCCCGTGGTCTGTCTTCCTGAGGTCAAATGGCTCCCAGGGACAGGACTTGGGTCTAGGGGATGGTCCTAGTGTGCCCCTTTCTGCTATGAGTCCGCCATACACCTTTTTCCTTAACCCTTGTCTATTCTCCACTGCCTTTCAGGCCTCAGCTTTGCCTTGTTGGTTTGCTCCCAGCACATCCTATGGAGGTTGGGGTGAGGGCCCCGGAGCTGTGTCGGACAATGCCTCCACACCCATGTAGGTTGCCCATGGTCTCAGCAGACCCTGCCTTGGGTAAGGAGAGAACTCGGGGCTGAGTAAAGAGGTGATTTCATAACTGGGCCACACCCAGCACTGGATTTCTCCTTGGGTTTTGTCACCCTGTGCCCTACGCCCTGCCTTCTGGGACTGGGCACCGTGCTGGGTGGAACAGTGACAGCTCTCAGCTCCCACGCTCTTTCTCCAGGCCCTGAACCCCCACCCCTGGGTCCGAGACATCAGGTCAGAACCCTTGGGTCTCTCTAGGGTCTAACCTCAATCTCTCCTGTTGTTGTCCAATGCAGAGTCTCTAGAGGACAGTGAAAAGAGCTTTGGAAGCAGACACTTTAGAGGCCTCTGACTTGCCATGAGACTATTTAATTTGGCCTCAGTTTCTCCTTCTGCGAAATGGGATAACAAAATAGATTCTGGAGGATGGTGGGAGGACTGGAAATGACTTATTGGTTCTGTGACTTGGATCAATTCACTATTGAGCCTCAATTTGCCACTCACAATAGGGGGGAACCACAGAATTTCCCTTATAGCATTGTACCAATGATGAGATGATAGCTGGCCTGGCACAGGGCAGGTGCATGTCAATGATTAAATTCCTGGTGGCCAGGCTGGCTCTTAGTGTCCTCAAAGGACACATGGGATGGTCTTGAGGATCATCTGACTCTCTTTAGCCTCAGGGCAAGTTGGTCCCACCACTGCCCCATTACATCCAGGCAGGGTTCTCCCCAGGTCCTCAAGGTGGTAAATGCTGAGAAGTGGCATGGAGGAGTCCTCCCAGACCTTTCTCTTCTGAGGGCCCCAGTCAGTTGTGAAATGATGGAGGAGGAGGACTGCATGTTTCCCATGGCCTCTCACTCCCAGTGCCCTGCTATTACAGAAGAACTTCCTGGTCATGCTCTCAGGAAGTTCCTTTTTCAGTCTAACTGGACCTCTTCTTGCTGTAAACTGAACTAATTTTGTTCTCAGAGGAAAAGAGCCCGCTCCTCTGCTTGCCCACCTAGCCTGTCCTTGGCCCCTGGCCCCCAACCTTGTCACATTTTCCTCTTTAAAGAACAGAACCTTGGTGTGGTGGCTCATACCTGTAATCCTAGCACTTTGGGAGGTGGAGACGGGTGGATCACTTGAGGTTAGGAGTTCGAAACCAGCCTTACCAACATGGTGAACCCTGTCTCTACTAAAAATACAAAAATTAGCTAGGTATGGTGGCACATGCCTGTAATCCCAGCTACTCGGGAGGCTGAGGCAAGCAAATGACTTGAGGTGGAGGTTGCAGTGAGCTGAGATTGTACCATTGCACTCCAGCCTGGGCAACAGAATGAGACTCCATCTCAAAAACAAAACAAAACAGAGAAGTTCCCTAACTGGGATACCCCTGTCCCACAAATGAGGAAGGGCTACCTGTGCAGAGACGCGGGTGGCCACAGAGATTGTGCAGGACTTGTCAGAGACATCAGGACTCTTGTCCAGTGGCCCAGGGATGGAACAGGCCAGGAAATACTGGAGACTGAGGCACAAAAGAGGCACTTGCTGTCCTGGCTTAGGATGGGGGTACAGAGTGAGAGTTGGTCTGTGGGGAGCACAGGTCGTTCCTCCACACTCATGTCTCTTGGATTCACAGGGCCCACACAGACCTGAGAGGGGAAGGGGGTGGGACATGGGGGAAGGGACTGTGGCACCACCCTCAGCTCCCGAAGGGCCCACGGGGCCCAGTTAGCACCTGTATCATGTAATCAGCAGCCAGCTTATGGGCTCCGGGGACCTCGTCAGGGTTTGGAGAAGGAAGTATGCCCATTGCTGCTTGTAGGGCTATGGTGTGAGCCTGACCTGTAAGGAGCACCTGCCATAGGGCCTGCAAACCCTCAAAGCAGAAGAAAGGCTGGGCCCCTCTTCTCTCTTGAGGACCCTGTCATGAGCACTCCAAGGCTCCCCGCAGCTTGGAAAGCATGTCTGCTTGGGACACTAACCCCTGCTGAGTTACAGCCTGGTCCTCACTATAACGGAGGCATTGAGTCCAACAGAAACCCAGATGAGGCTTTTCCTGCACGACGGTCAGGGTGGAAGAAGCCTGCAGTCTGTCTGCATCCTGCCTTTGCTCTGGTACCATTGCTCCTTTCATCCTGACCCTCCTATGGTGGCTATGTTCCTGACTCCAGGCTCTGTCTCTCTCTGTCTCTCTGCCTCTGTCTCCATCTCTCTCCCCACCTCACCCAGAGCCCATCCCTCCCATCTCATCCCTTACAAGGGATTCCCCAGGATCTGCCCCTTGTGGATGGCAAAGTTGTGGCTACTCACAGCATTGACAGCCAGGTCCCCGCGGATGTCTGCTGGCGTGATCTCATGGAGCAGAGCGGCTCCGGCCACAGCCCCCAGCAGCTGGGCAGCCACATAGAAGGTGGCTCGGAGAAAGGAGACATGGCAGCCCACCAGGCAGGCCACAGTCACGGCTGGGTTGATGTGGGCCCCGCTTATGTGGCCCAGAGCCTGTACCAGGGTGCCAATACCCAAGCCGAATGCCATGGCGATCTGTAGCACAGAGGGCAGGGCCTGTGGCCAGTTGAGGGCTGAGCCGAGGCCAAAGAAGACGAAGAGGAGTGTGGCCAGGAACTCTGCGAACACGGCCCTGGAGAAGGCTATGGAGCGGAGCTCCCACATGCTGCGGAGTCCTGCGTGGCTGGCCGGGCTGTCTCAGGGCCAGGAGGCTCTGGGCACTCTCTTTCGCTCTCTACCGCTCTCTTTCTCAAGGCCTCTGGGGAGGCTGGGTTGTGGGCATTTATAGGGTACTTCCATCCCGGATCTGGGCACGTGGTGGGGAGGTGGAGTCGTTGAGGCCAATACCTCTTCTCCATGGCGGCGTCTGCCCCCATGCCCCATCCCAGCCCACCCACGTGCCTATCACCCTATCTTAGCCTTCACAGCTGACTGATGTTCCCCATTTAATGAGCTCCAGATAAGGACTGACGTCCCTGGTTTTCCGTGTTTGTTCCCTTGGTTACCCCAGGGCTGCTGCCCCAGGGCCTCTCCCAGCCCCCACGGGGTCTTGTGAATGGGAACCTCTGGTGGGGATTGTGCCCAGTGCCCCTCTCTCCGACTCGAACTGTTGACCAAGGCAGGGGCAATACCTCACACAAAACTAAGAGTGCGTGAGTGCTGCTCCTTCTGGTAACTGGGAAGTTCTTCTGTCAGACCTCCAATTACTCCTGCTTCACAGGGATGGAAAACAACTGGTTGGCTTGTGACAGATTTCCAGGGCATAAAGGTTTGTGTCTTCTGCGTTTGCATTCTTGCAGCTAATCACCCATAAATCATTAAGCTTCACCTTCTCCGGGGAGCCCCAGCCAAATAGCAGCTCCTAGAGCCTGGGGGCACTGGGACCCTGGCCCTCGGTGATGGAGTCAACCTGGGGGCGGCTGAGGAAGCTGAGGGTGTCCATTCTGGCATCAGCCTGTTCCATCTATGTGACTTAACCTTTCTTGTCTTTCTCTGTAAAATGGGAAGAATAAAACTGACCTAGTGGATTGGGGTTTGGATTGAATGAAACAATGTATGTCAAGTGCTCAGAGCAGCGCCTGGTCCACAGTAGGTGGTCAATGAATATCAGCCCTTCCTTATAGTATTATTTACACTTTGAGGAGAACAGGTCTTTGCACACTCACGTGTTGGGGTCCCAGAAGCTGTGACAGGTCCTAGGAACCCTGAGGAGCTTAGGGCCACTCTGGCCACAGGAGAAAGACATTTCTGTGGGGCAGTGAGCTGTGCAGGCTCGGGGCGGCTATGATGGCTGATAAGCAGCTCTCTGGCCTTGGTGCCCACTCAGCCCAGCATCTGGGCAGTGCTGCCTCCTGCTATCAATGCCGCTGTGGCTACTGGGGTCCTGGAGGTGTTCAACTCTAGAAGTTTCCCCAGCCCCACTCACTGGCCCTTCCCTAATCCCTCCAGCCTCGCTCCCCCTCCTGGGGATTCACAGCAGGGTTGGGCTCAGAGTGGGGACAGAAGGATGGGCTTCTGCACCCTGCCCTAGCTCCTGTCCAGCAGGTCCCCGGGCAAGTCACAGTCCCAGCAACAGAAATCTGGGAGAGATTGGAGACTGGAGTGGACCGCTTTATGTTGTATCATGGGGATGTGGGGTGAGTGTAGGCCCAGGGAGGGGAGTGACTCATCTAGGGTGCTCCAGCAGGTTAGTGGCTGAGCTGGGACTGAGCCTGGTCTGGAGCTTTCTGCCACACCCCACATTACCGAGCCACACTCTGTGCCTCAGTTTCCTTGTCTGGACAGTGGGAGTGTAGATGCCTACCCCATAAAGTTGTTTTGAGAATGCAGTAAGATAATGAACGGGAAAGTATTTTGCAACTGAGAATGTATCATACACATATGTATGGGGACTCATGACTCCTGCTATTGTGAAGGAGGAGGAGGAGGAAGGCGAAGAGGAAGGGGAGGAAGAAAGAATAAAAATTACCCATACAGAAGGGATGCTCCAAAAGAGCAGGGATTCCTGTGGGGTTTGTTCTCCAGTGTATTTCCAGTGCCTAGCGCCTGACCTGACACATAGACACCTGGTACCCTAGCACTCTTCCCTCAGCCATCCCTCCCAACTTCAGGCATTCTGGGTCCTCTGGGAGAAGATCGAGGGAGAGGGGGACCCCTATCCCTGTCATATAAAGGGCATCTGGGACCCACCTCCAGACTCTGCACATGGGAAGAGACAAGGACTCAGAGGGGTCTGGCTTGGGTGTGCCTCTGCCCCCACCCAGGGAATATTCCTTCCCCACTGCTGCTACAATCTCCACCTCCCAGTTTCAACCAATTCTCTTGCCTCAGCCTCCTGAGTAGCTGGGATTACAGGCACACGCCACCATGCCCGGCTAATTTTTATATTTCTTTTGGTAGAGATGGAGTTTCACCATATTGGCCAGGCTGGTCTCCAACTCCTGACCTTGGGATCCACCTGCCTAGACCTCCCAAAGTGCTGGGATTACAGGTATGAGCCACCGCGCCTGGCCTACTCCTTTCTTTTGTGGCTTCATGTATCACTTCTCCTGACCTTCGGACATACTGTCCACCCCAACTGGCCAAGTTCAGGACTGAGTCTCAGGGTCCCTGGAAAACCTCTTTGGGCCTCATGTGAACTGAAGCTGTGACAGTGGCTTCTAAATCCACACCCAACCATTTAGTTGCTGTGTGCTCTGGGATGGGCCGCACACCCTTTCTGGTCTCTCCTTCTTTTGTCAAGGTATTCACGATCTTGAGGAGTGGCCCACTGACCCTTGATTCTGGGAAGAACCGCCGCTAACCCAGTCGGGTGAAAATCTCTTGCTTCCCAATACACCAGGATAGGTATGACAGCTTCTCCTTGGAGCCCACAAAGCCCCAACCCGAATTTGCATATGTTTGTGGTGTGTGTGTTGTGTGGTTGTTCAGCCACACAATCATACATTTAGAACCTGATGGGATCTTGGAGATCATCTTGCCCATGGATTTTAGTTGCCGTGATAAGAACATGAATTCCAGAGAGAGTGTGACCTGCCGCACAGCTTACAATAGTAGTCAGGACTCACATTCTGATCTGGCCCCTAGTCTGGGAGGACAGGAAGGGGCCAACAGTGACCCAGCTCGTGCCTGTGTTTGCATTTGCCCTTCATGCCAGGGAGGAAGAAGGTGTTCCCATCAAAGCTGGTGGGGCTTGGCTGTGCTTCTGGCTGGCAGCTCTGCTCCCCTGAAGGGATGGCTGCATTTTTTCTAAAATGGCCACTATGCTGTGTCTTAGGAAATCTATTCATCTATCATGCACTATTAATTAGAACATGACAAAAATTGCTGATGAATTCACAGCAATGTGAATGTGCTTAATGCCACTGAACTGTGCACTTAAAAATGGTTAAGATGAGGGCCAGGCGCAGTGGCTCATGCCTATAATCCCAGCACTTTGGGAGGCTGAGGTGGGCAGATCACCTGAGGTCGGAAGTTTG